GCTGTGGTGCCTTGGGAGCCTTGACCACTACTGGGCATTCCCATTCCTCTGGCTCCAGGAAGAGGCACCAGCTCTGTCTGGGAGCAGCTGTGGGGCAGCCCAGGAATTCTGGTATTGTCTCAGGGCCTGCAGGGACAGGACACAGGGAATGGCTTCCCTCTGCCAGAGGGAGGGTTAGATGGGATATTGGGAAGGAATTCCTGGCTGGGAGGGTGGGGAGGCCCTGGCACAGGTTGCCCAGAGAAGCTGTGGCTGCCCCTGGATCCCTGGAAGTGTCCAGGGCTGGGTTGGACGGGGCTGGTGTTGGGACTGGGGACAACTCCCAGTGCGGATCCAGCCCGGTGTCAATAGGGTGGCAGAGCAGAGACCTCACGTGGCACCAGGCAAAGCTGGCCTGGAATCCAAGCACCAAACGTTGCCAAATCTTATTCATTTATGAATTTCCAACTTAAATTTAATTGAAACTCAAAAAAAGTCCGTCTCAAACACAGGAAATTGGTTGAGTTTTACTCCTTGACAAATACCCAGGAATTGCATAGGGACAGAGCCAGACAATTAATTATGAGTGGAGGAGCTGTTTCTGTGGGGTTGTGAGGGGATGCACCTCCTTTTGGGAGGAATTTGGGATCAGCTCAGCTCCCCTGGGCTGGGCTGGATGAGAATCCCCCTCCCAGACTTATAAATAATACACAGAGGGATTTTTTTCCGAATGTGCAATATCGTGTTGTCCTAATTTAGGAGCTTTTGTATCTCCTCATAAAGCGCCCGAGAACAAGAGGATTAAGGGAAAAACTCTTTGAAAATCAGAGCCCATGTTATTGCTTCTTGATGGACGAACAATTCAGATCTAATTGATCACGGCATTAATTATCCATAATCTCTGTGTACTCGGGGAGCCTTGTGGGATATTTCTAATCAAATTAAAACTAATTCAAAGCAATCTGACATTACAGAGTGTTTTGTCTCTATTTTAGGACAGGGAGTCAGGGGATATGAAATGCATATTACATCTTGATCCGAGTGCACGCACTGGAAAAAGGCCTCTAATATAATCACTTCCACGCGGCGCTGATTATGAGCACGGGAGTCGTGTGGCTCAGAGAGGGGTTTTTTTGAAAAAAAAAAAATTAAACTGGCAGTATGAACAACTGCCGAGTTGCAGTGTCCTGGAATCATCAGATCCTGGGACGGGGTGGGTTGGGAGGGGCCTAAAGACCATCCCAGTGGGCAGGGACACCTTTGACTATCCCAGGTTGCTCCGAGCCCCGTCCCACCTGGCCTTGAACACTTCCAGGGAGGAGGTAGGGGGATGCTGTTTAATCCAAGCCCTGATAATTTATATATTTAGGGGCTGGAGGGCTGCTCATCATTGCAGCGAGGGCAGATGCGTTTTGAGTTCTTTTGATTCCAGCACTCGGAGGAGTCGGGAGGATGGATTTGAGTTAAAAATAGGGGGTTAATTGAAAGGCGAAAGGCAGCGTTTTTACCTCACAGCTTGAATGGAGCCCATCCAAAAACACCCAGCAAGAAAAAAGGAGCGGGGATGCGCCGCTCATCTGGGCTGAATCAGCGCAGGGTATGGATTTCATCCCGCCCAGGCGCTGGCCCCGCTCCCGGGGGAGCAGCCAGGCCCCGGCACTGGGTGCCGGCATTCCGGGGGTTCCTCATCCAGGTGCTCCCCTTTGACCCCAACCTGTTAACATCTTGGAAGGTTTCAGGTTCGCGGCTCTTTGTGTGTTTGGAATAACAGAACAGGCTGGAAACTTCAATAAAAAGTGGTTTATTGATTCTAATTAAATCTTTTTTTTGAAAGGTAGAGCAGACACCGATCCCAGTTAACTTTAATTTAGGACTGACATTTACACGCTGCCAGAGGAGGGGGAATTCAGAGTGGACAATTCATTTCAATTTGGGTGAAAAATATCATTTAAATGCCAGAAAACTGCATATTTAACATTTGCAGTAATTAAGTGATTTTAATTTAATAATAAATCTCTCTTGTCTCTATGTATTTGCACTCATCCCTCAGTCTTGGCCTGGCACATTGATTGAACTACACTAATTACTCCTTTTCAAGTGTAAATATGTTTTAATACTTTTTTCCAGTCAGGCGGCACGTTCACAATTTAGCCGATAATAACTTTTTATCATAAACCCCTTAATTTGGGGGTTTCTTTCCTGCAACAAGTTTTTGTGTCTATTCCGCAGCCGAAACAAGTCCAGACCAACTCGCCTGCAGCTGGTCTGGGTGTAAATTCCTCTAAGGCACCATCTGGAATGGTTTTTATATACACACAAAGAAAATGCTGCCCTAGCCCCCCTCTCTGCCCTCAGACATCCTTGAATTGTAGTTAAAAATTCACTTTTTCTGGTTTTTTTTTTCGGTGGAAGCACTCGGTTTTGTGGGATGCAACATGCAAGGAAAGAGGTTTCACTTTAAAATTTTGGATTAAAATGGGGGTTCCAGGGCAAAAGGACCCTGAGTCCTGCTGGGGAGGAGGCCACGGAGATGATTCAAGGGCTGGAGCCCCTCTGCTCTGGAGCCAGGCTGGGAGAGTTGGGGGGGTTCACTGGAGAAGAGAGGGCTCCAGGGAGACCTGGGAGCCCCTTCCAGAGCCCAAAGGGGCTCCAGGAGAGCTGGAGAGGGACTTGGGACGAGGGATGGAGGGACAGGACACAGGGAATGGCTTCCCACTGCCACAGGGCAGGGTTAGATGGGATATTGGGAAGGAATTCTTGGCTGGGAGGGTGGGGAGGCCCTGGCACAGGTTTCCCAGAGAAGCTGTGGCTGCCCCTGGATCCCTGGAAGTGTCCAAGGCCAGGTTGGAATAACCTGGGATAATGGGACATGTCCCTGCCCATGGCAGGGGGGTGGAAAGAGATGGTCCTTAATGTCCCTTACAACCCAAACCATTCCATGATTCTGTGAGGGGGTCTGGACCCCGCACTGTTCATGCAGCCCTTCCCTTGTCCTTCCCAAGTGCTCCGGCAGGAGCACCTGCGGCAGAGCGCTCTGGAGGATGCCCTTCACCTTGGGTCGCCCTGCTCTCCCGCATCCATCCATCTTGGATGTCCGACCGGAGCTGCCGCTGCGCCTCTTTGCTGACTGCGGAGGATTCGGCTCCATATGTTATCCCTCGCAGGGTCCGTGTGTCAACCCCTTTTTGAGCAGAGTTGGCTTAATGATACCCATTATTTAGGAACTGTAAATCAATTTAATATTCTAATTAAGCCGCTCGGTACCTCCCGACACACGGTGTACCGGAGTCCTCAGGACCAGATGGAGTTGCGGTGGGGATCGCGTGGCTCGGCACGCTGGGATTCAGCCATATGACTCCCATTAATAAAGAGGAGCTATGGAGAGGCACCCACGCTGCCCAGCCTGACACCCTGCCGATCCAGCAGCGCTGGGAACCGAGGGATTTGGGAATGGATGAGCCTCAGGTGGAAAAGGTCACCATAAAATGCTGGGGTCTCCTTCTGGGGAACCATCCTGCACCCGATAGCTGAAGGCCCCTGGCACAGCTCCAGCCATTCCCCGGGGCCTGTCCCTGGTTCCCCAGAGCAGAGCTCAGTCCCTGCCCCTCCTCTGCCCCTGCCCAGGAGCTGGAACTGCAGGGAGCTCTCCCCTCAGCCTCCTCTTCCAGGGCATCCCACTCCCATCCCTGTGCCCTCAGCTCCATTCCAGGCTTTAAACTCAGGTAAAATCCCCCTTTTTCCGTCATTTGAGGGACTTCAATTGAAAGAAAAATGGTGGGAAACGTGAGGGGAAAAAAGGCAGGAAATGTGAGGGGAAAAAGATGGGAAATGTGAGGGGAAAAAGGTGGGAAATATGAGGGAAAAAGCATGGGAAACGTGAGGGGGAAAAGGCAGGAAACATTGTGGTGCTGCTGTGTATATTTCTAGGGAAGGAAAGTAAATATATTTACACGCAGGGATATTTGTTGAAAAACATTCCCGAGGTGAATTTGAGGTGAAGTTGATTTTTCAATAATGGCAAAGGTTGTTGACAAACAGAGGTGAAAAGACAAAATATTTGGGATGAAACATGCCTGGATTTAAGTGAAAACCTGCTTCCCACGTTCCCTGTCCTCCCTACCAGTTTTTAACAGTGCAAGTGACAGTGTGAAACAAGACCAGTAACCCCAGTTAGGGTCTGTGGCTGTGTGTGGGGAGTGCCCACCCATCACATCACCTGGGCTCATCCCATCCATCCCATGGGATCTTCCCTAGGAGTTTTCATCCCTGGAGCAAGTTTCCAGGCGTTCTGTATTACACTTGGTTTAGCTTTGCTAGACTAAGCACATTATTAATTGGTTCTCTCTTTATTTACAATACTATTGCCTGAAATCTCTACTCCGGTCGGTAATTGAATTTTTGGAATACAGTAATTAAAAAAGTCAAAAGAGCAATAAACAGGAGTGTCCGTAAATAATTGCATTGGAGAACAGGCATAAATCACCCAGATTAAATGATTTTAGATCATATTTGAACTCCTTAATTTTAATTTATGATTTCCAGAGGATTTACAGCCACTGCTGACTTTGTTTTCCTCCTCCTGCCTTGGAGCTGCCGTGCTGAGAAAAAGCTTTTCAGGAATCCTTAGATATTTTGGTTTACAATCTCATTTTCCCACTTTATTTTGGCAGCGCTCTGTGGGGGGGACCTTGGCTTTCCTTGGGATGCAATGCCAGGGATTTCATGGGAATCTTCCCTTGCAGGAAGGGGAAGGAGCAGATTTATCCAGGGGGGTAGGTTTGAAAGTAATGATTTCCAGCCCAGCCATCAACAGGGAATTCTGCTGAGAAAATAGGGAATTCTGCCAAGAGAGCTGGGGAGGGTCACTGTCTCCCAGGGCAGCTACTGGGACACAACAACAGGGAGTTACTTGATATTTATCTGATATTTAACATGGCATTTTCCCTTTGAAATGCCATTTTATCCCACTTCTACAACCTTAATTTCACTAAAAATTCCTGCAAGTGGGACTACCGGTATTGGAAGGAAATTCCTGGGCTGTTTGAAGTTTATTTACTTCTTTTTCCACAACGAGCTGAACTTTATTCCCTGTCACTTTTGAAACATGTCATCTTTCTGGATTCCTCTTGATAAGCACTTGCTGCGGAGAGGAGCCATCAGTTTGGGAGGTTTGATCTCCCAGAATTCCATTTTTCCTGGCACCGGATCAAAAGATGACAAATATCTTGAAAGAAGACAGAGGCTTTATTGTCGCTATTTGAGGTGCTCAGCACGTCAAAAAGTAGAGGCGGGTTGTAAGCGGGGCTATTATTTGGGATAAGTGTTTCCAACCTCTGAATGGATGATTTTGCCCATGTTTCCTGGGAATCCGAGCCGTTGGGATGGCGTGGTGCTGCCGGCCACTCGCCGCAGTGTGCCAGTCGGCACCGTTGTTTTCCTCAGGCACTGGAAAATGTCACCGGGGAAGCGCCGCTGCCAGAGGCACATTTGAACTGGCACTGGCAGGGAGTGGTGCATCCCAAAGCATCTCTTGGAAAAACAGGGAAAAAACCAGAACTAAGAGACTGGTAATGACTCATCCACAAATCCTTCCATGGCAGTGAAGGAAGCAGGGAAATGATTTGAAAATGATGATGGGAATATGGGAACATCTCCCCCCCCCCAGCAGCACAACCTGCTCTTCCCGGCCCCTTGGTATGCTGGGTCCGGGTTCCATGGAATGGCAGAGGTCTGGGAAGCTGTGTGGGATGCTGGAAGGGAGATTGGATGTGGATGTTGAGCACGATGATGGCCAGGGATGGCAGTCTGGGGGTGGGGGTGTTTGTTGGGATGCTGGGCAGGGATGGTGGATAATATTATAATTTGAATAGAAATCCAGCATTTCCCAGGCCTTCCAGTATTTCTCTCACCATAAAAAGAAACCCCAAGCCATAGGAGTCATTTTAATCCATGTTCTTCCAGGACAGAAACATTTTCATCCCACATCCAGCCTCATTCTCTCGAGCTCACAACAGCCTGTGCTGCGTCGTGCCAGACAGAAACAGTTGCCAGGCTCTTCCCAAAAAAATTTCACTTAAGGAACACCTTGCTCATTCCGAGAGATCAGGCACATGTCAAAATAGACGGAGAAGAGAAATTGGCCAAGGAATTCTGAGAAGGAAGAGTTGTTGTTCCCCCCCCTGCCATGAGCAGGGACACCCTCCACTATCCCAGGCTGCTCCAAGCCCCGTCCAACCTGGCCTTGGACACTTCCAGGGATCCAGGGGCAGCCACAGCTTCTCTGGGAAACCTGTGCCAGGGCCTCCCCACCCTCCCAGCCAGGAATTCCTTCCCAATATCCCGTCTAGCCCTGCCCTGTGGCAGTGGGAAGCCATTCCCTGTGTCCTATCCCTAGGTCCAAAAGGTGGAGTCAGATGGACGGAGGCTCCCCCGGTCTCCTGATTTTCCACTCCCTACAGTGGCTCCTTCTGACTGTGCCCCCAGAGCAGGGGCTGCTCCCCTGGCTGGCGGTGCCAGAGCCTTTTCCCATTTTTCTGAGGCCCCACGCTGTTGGAAGGGGCTGAGGCCATGGCTGCCAGCTCCGGGTACAGCCTGTGATCCTTCTGCGTGAGCCCGTCGGGTTCAATGGCTCAGCTGCAGGAAGGAGCGGAGGCACCCGGAGCTTGGCATTGGGATCTGCCTGCCAGTTCCATATGAATATTAGCCATCTGCGGGGTGGGAGGCTGCAGCTCTCAGTTCCCCTTGTCTCCAGCTCCTCTCGCCTTTTTTTCCTTTATTCTTTGATTTTGTGGTGGAGCAAGTGATTGCAGAATCGTGTTTTCTGGTGGTTTTTCCAGTCCTGGATTGAAACAAACACTCCTTCCCGCTATTTGGCAAACCTTTATCTTCCTAAAATTAATTAATTTTGATGGGTAATTATTATAGATATTTTGACAGATCCTTATTGTAGTTAGCCCATCCCTGGAAGTGTCCAAGGCCAGGTTGGACAGGGCTTGGAGTTTAGGGGATGCCATGCCCAGAATCCTGGAATAGTTTGGGTTGGAAGGGACCTTAAAGCTCATCTCATTCCACCCCCTGCCGTGGGCAGGGACACCTCCCACTAGCCCAGGTTGCTCCAAGCCCCGTCCAACCTGGCCTGGGACAGTTAACCAGGAATTAGGTGCAGGAAACACCATCACCGGAGTGGATTTGTCACTCCCATCCTGCTCCAACCACCTGCACTTCCCAGGACTCTGCCAAGGCTCCACCGCCTGCCCTTCTTCCCCATCCCTTTGGTCTCCACGTTCCCTGTCTCCCAGGAACTTTGCAACTTCCCCATTACCGCAGGTTGTGTTTAAGATTCCCGTGCCTGTGGCTTAATAACCCCCAAATTAGTCCCGCTGGAATTAGCCGTAATTAAGGACATTGTGAAATACGGCGGGGGCACACGGAATTACACTGTATTACTTTATTAATAATATTCTTTAACTACACTGTAAATTGCTATTAGGCCTGAACATTCCTGCCTGGATATGGAAATAGTCTTTTGCTATGCTAATCTAACACAATTTTCTTTTAAATGTAAACAAATTATACTCTATTAATATGCTGTTCTACTTGCATAGTTAATTATTGTAACAGTAAGGAATAAAATGGTTCGGCTTTTGCTGTTTCTGATGGAAAAAGGGCTACATAAATAGTTTAATAGGGAGCTAATTATGCAAAAAATTCCGATGCCGAAAATGTGTTTGTAATTGCATTAAAATGGTCTTCTGTTCAAATATTGGAAAGCCGGCTAATTGGAGGCGAGCTGGAAATTTAAATATTGTGAATCGATGATTTTCATACAGTACATGTTTGGTTGCGTTTCTGTTCATATTTGTCTTTGGGAAGGAAGGGAATATTTAACAGTGCTTAATAAGAGGAGCTCCGGGTCTCATACCAATGAGGGAAGTCGCTGGGAAGCAGGAATTCTAAAGGTCCGGGCCATGGGATTGACCTGGATTTGGGGGGTGGCTCCCGTGGAAGCACCACAAGGAGAGACCTTCTGGCTCTCCACAGCTCCCTGGCAGGAGGCTGGAGCCAGGTGGGACTTGGCCTCGTCTCCCAGGTAACAGGAACACAGGAAAAGGCCTCAAGTGGCACCAGGGGAGGCTTAGGTTGGATATTGGGAAAAATTTCTGCATGGAAAGGGTTGTAAACATTGGCAGTGGCTGCCCAGGGCAGCGGGGGAGTCCCCACCCCTGGAAGTTTCAGAAAACAGGTGGATGTGGCACCTGAGGACATGGATTAGTGGTGAACATGGTGGTGGTGGACTCGATGGTCTCGAAGGTCTTTTCCAGCCTTAAGGATTCCAGGAGTCTCTGATCCTACCCCTGGGATAGGGGTGCTCACAGGGGGTGATGCTGCATGGCCACCAAACGAGCTGGTGTGGCCACCAGCTCCCTGATTGACTGGGTGTGGAGGGACACGTGGAGCCGTGCCAGTGGCCGTCCCCGGGGATGGGGACACGGGGAGCCGGTGTCCCATCACCACCACGCAGCTGGAAAAGGCTCCCGGCGTGGGCACAGGGAGGTGCCAGCAGGGTGATGGCGAGTCCTGTGGTGTCCCCAGAGGGCGGGAGCACAGCTGGGACCAGGGACAAGGGGCCCACCCTAAGCACACCTAAGCAGGGCCCGCGGGGCGTCGGCACCGGCGCGCTCGCATCCGGGCACGGCAGTTTGGAGTGGGAACAGGCAAACAGCTTGTGGTACAAAGCAAAGGAGAGAATTCCAAATGGCTAATCTCCAGCCACCCACACAAGTTTTGTCTCTCTTTAGCACCTTTCCCTGTTGCTAAGTCTCGCATCCAAAAAACCGGAGAGGAGACACTCCAAATTATGCAGCAATATTGTGTCGAGCAGCTGAAAACAGGCTCGGGGAAGAGCTCCGGGAACGCGGCGCAACCCGTATTATCTGTGGCAAACCAGGGATTGTCCAAGGCTGATGGATGATTATCTACAGCCAAAGGGCACAGGGCACGGATGGTGATCCACAGCCAAAGGGCACAGGGCATGTCACACCAGCAGAGCTGGGCCCTGGGGGCTGCATCCAGCCCAGGCGGAGTGGGCACCACCTCCGTGGGTCTGTGTCCCCTGCTGCCACCCCAGGGGCACAGTGTCCTGGACACTGGGAAAGGGTGGCCGTCCTGCCCACAGATCTGCCCGGGAGCGATGCTGCCCGTCCGTGCATTGAGCTTCCCGCAGCAGCGGGGGCCTTGAATCCACCTGAGGATTCTCCCGCAGGGAGATCACAGGGAGCACGACCTGCTCCATAGTCATTGGAATGTCCCAGAGTCCCTGGGGAAGTGCTGGAGGGGAGGATCTGCGTCCCTGCCTGTGGGCTGCGCTTTAAGCCTGTCTTAAGGGAAAGGAGGAGAAGGGGAAGTGCTGACTGAGGAAGGTGCTCCAGGGAGCAGGAACGTGGAGCTCGGAGCAGGCCTCGTGCTCCCTGCTCCCTGCTAAGCCCAGCAGAGCGGGGTGCTGGAGGTCCTACTTGGGTGTCCAGCACCCCAAAAGCAGGGAAGCCACATCCCTCCCACCTGACGTGCCCGAGCACCCCCAACACACCGGGAATGCTGCGTGTGCCGGAACAGATCCGGCTCTGCCCTTATCCACCTGCTCCAGGCAGCGTCAGGAATACTCGGGGTGGGAGAGCTGCCCTGGAAAGGCAGTTTTATCCTGGCTGATCCCGCTCTGGCCCTTCAGATGCGTCAGATTAAACGGACACACGTTTGGTTTATGGTCTGTGACATGAGTAACCTGCGTTATTTCCCTACTTAAGGGGGGAAATTCCTTAAAATATACGTGAAGGTGCATGGCAGGGGCAGAGGAGAGCCCTCCAAGTGCAAATTCCTGACAAATTAGCTCAGTCCAAGAGTTATCACTTCAATTTTCATGGCAAATACCCCACCAAACCCAGTGCCTTGAGCTTGCTCGTAAAAAGCTGAAGAAATCATTTGCTACAAGGAAAAAAATAGAAATCGAGGGGGGAAAAAAAAGCAGGAAAAAAAGACATGTCATATCCCAGCTATCCTGCCAAAATCCCCAAACAGCTTCCTAGCTGTTTAAGGGAAGAGAATCTGAAATATCTTTGCGGAGTCTTGTCTGTTTGTCTGACAGATGTCTGCAACGTACTGGGAACTGGAGTCATGCTCCGAATGTAAATAAGATTACAGGCCTTTAAATATTCCCATTCCGTTGTATTTACCTTCATGCCGAGGAAAATAAAGCCTTTCTGCTGGCTGTTTTTTTTCCAGCAGGTTTTTTCCCCTCTTCGTATCCCACAAGCAGGCTTAGCATTTTTTGCCTTGTCAGTTAAATGCCCAGGTTTGTCCTTTAATCCAGTGGTTAGTCCAAAGGATCCAGCTGTTAAAAAGGCAATTTCTGGCTAAGGGTGTAAATTATTCATTTGGAAGCCTCGTTCACCTCCTTTTTTCCCTTCCCTTCCCCCCCCCCGGAGTCTCAATAATGGAGTTTATTAAGGCCTGTGCTCCAGCCCCCTGGGACAGTGGTATTCCCTGGGATGTCCCCGGCCCTGGAGCAATGCTTTTGGGGAAAGGCAGAGTCTGGGCTTTGGAAGGGTGTGAGTGCCCCTTTTGGGGAGCACGGAGCCATTCCCTGCTGTCCTGCTGGGACACTGAGGAGGAAGAAGCAGGGTTTAGTCACTCTGCTTTTTGCACCCGCCGCAAAGCCTTAAATCCAGGAATGAATCCGCCGAAATCTACATTCCTAAAACAAAGCCTGTCTCCAAAGCCGCAGCCCGGCCCTCCCTGGAACCCCCTTCCCGTGCCCTCTCCTGCCCCGGGGGCACTCCGGGCGGGTCGCTGCTTTCCCTGAGCAGCCGGCGGGCAGAGCCCACATGCCATGGTCGGCCCAGCGCTCGGGCTGAGCGGTGACTCGCTCCCGAGCGGTGTTGAGATCCCTGCGGACACGCTGCCGGAGCGCGGAGCCCCCGGGCCGGGCTGGGGCGGGGCAGGGCCGGGCGGAGCCGCTCTCACCTGGCACGGAGGAGGGCTCTGGCAGTGACCTGCACATCGCTGCTCGGCGCCGGGGGATGAACCACCGCCCTGCGCCGCTCCGGGGCCGGCCGCGTTACGGTGCGGGAGATCACAGGGCTCCTGCCCCGCGCCGGGCAGCCCTGGCGGGGCGGCGGGGCCGGGGAAATCGGCGGCTCAATCTGCCCTGCTTTTTGCGAGGATCCGAAGTCGGGATTGCGCGGGTGTCAGATGGACACTCTACAGCTGTTCTGGAATCATGTGTCAACATTATTTACCAAACTAATGTGATGATAATTATGGAATAAAGTGCGGGGAGCGAGCACGCGGGCAGGATGGCCATACATACTTAATGATCCCATTCTCCTGCATCTCCAATCAGTCGGAGCCGAGCCCGTCGCTGGAGACATGTGGAGGCAGCAGCGCAAGCTGTCTGTGCGGGATCCAGGGATGACTGGATGCGGCAGCGCGCATTCCAAGTAAAAAATTAATTTACAAATGGGTTTCAGGGTTCCCACCAGATGGAAGAGCACGGAAGTCACGAGCGGCCCTTCTCCGGCACTTAACCCTTGCGCCGACGCCGCGCCGGGAACGGGGCCAGCTGGAAAAAATCACGGTCGGAGGCCGCAGCCGGAGTTTCTTTTGGAAATGGTTACTTTAAACCCCAAACACCTGTACTTTTACTGCCGCCTGAGCCGGGCTGCGACATCACACGCAGGAGGCAGATGTGTAACCGGAGCCTCCGGAGCTGGATTGAATTATAACAACATGGCTTTGAAGGAGAGGGAGGGGGCTCAGGAAGGCGTTGGGAAGAAAGGCTTTTATTTCGAGATCAAACCTCAATCTTTAAAGAGTTTCTTCCCGTCACCTTTAGCTCCTGCTGAGCGCTGGTTCTCTCCACAGCCAGTCCCACCGACATGGATAAAGCAGCCAATTATATCCCAAAAGCTGCTGGATCGGGCCCCGAAGGCTGCACAGCCACCGGTGGCCTTGCCAGGCTTAGGTTGGATTGTAGGAACAATTTCTGCATGGAAAGGGCTGTCCAGCCCTGGGCGGCAGTGGAGACACCAGCCCTGGCTGTGGCACTGGGGGATCGGGCTAGAGGTGGCCTTAGCAGGGGAATGGCTGGACCCGATGGTCCCAGCGGTGCCGAGCCGCTCCCGAGATGCACCACTTCCCAGAAAAGCTCCATGTGCTCCTGAAGTGGATGTTTGAGGCAGGAGGGCCGAGCTTGGCCGGGCTCCCGCCTTTGCGCAACGGTGTTATAAAACATCCCCGGGGGGGGAAGACGGAGGTCAGATGTTCCCCGAGCCCTCCCACTCCTTTTTCACCAGGGGGACATAAAATCCGTGGATGCACACCAATTTTTATCGCAGGAAGCGCGATTTACCCTTGGAGAGATGAGCAGCCCTTTCCCTGCAGCCTCCTGGAAGGCCCAGCTGCCTCTGGGAGCTGGGGAGGGAGGCAGGGCCGGGCGGTGGGTGCAGGCAGGGGTGGCACCTCAGGCACGGAGTCATGGAATGGTTTGGCTTGGAAGGGACCTTACAGAGCCCCTCAGTGCGGCCATGGCAGGGACACCTCTCTCTGGACCAGGTCCCACCTGGCCCTGGACACCTCCAGGACTGATCCCATGGAGCCAGTCCGGGGAGCAGGGTCCTGCTGGATCCCTGCATTCCCAGCCCCACCCAGAGCTCTCCTCAGACCCCCTCCTGTGCAAGGAAAAGCTCCTACACGTGTGACCAGCTCCAGTCAGGTGCTGGCCATGCTTCCACGCACTTCCCTGGGCCACTCCATCCAGTGTCCCTACACCCTGCTCTGAAATTCAGGATTCTCCCTCATTTTCCCCAGTGATCTTGCCCAGAAGCTGTTTCTCCTCCAGCCCTTTGCACACCTTTGGTATTACCCCGCAGCTCTGCACAGTGACCTGACCCCCAGTGCGCCGTGCCCTTTTCTTTTTCCCCCTCCTCCTTTCTTTTTTCCCCCCTCTTTTCCTCCCCCTCAAATCCGAGCTCATTTGAAAATTCCAATTTCTCTAATAATTCGATGCAGCTGCTAAGATGTTCCCTTTCTTTTGATCACTGTTATTAATGATGTGCTGTAACATATGCAACGCTTGCAATCCCAGCTACTATTTCTTACAAAGATCATTTTGTACTTCCCCCCGCTCCCTTCTCCCCCCTCCTCCCCTCTCTCCTTCCCTCTCTCTCTCCCTCCCTCCCTCTGCTCTGATGAAGCTCATATGTTTTAGGAAGTTCATCTCCGAGCTATTAGTCTAAGAATTAGGAAATGTGTGGGCAGCTCCTTTGTGGTAGAACAGGAATTGGAGAAAGAAACAGTTCCCTTTTATTCCCCAAATTTTTTTATTCCCAAAAGAGGGATGTTGGCTTTGTTTTGGGTCCCGAGTTTGCCGTGAAATATGTTGTGGCTCATTCCTAATGTCATCTTATTTACTTCCATGTTTTGATAAAGCTGAGGTTTCCAGCCCAATATTTTTTAATTTCTCAACCACTCCCAGACCATACTCAGTTCTGTAAATACAAATTCCAGGTGATTCCAAGGGAATCTGTGTATTTATCCCACATTTGTAACACCACGAACACCTTCAGAAACTGAAACCCAGGGTTCTGACTTTGCTCCGACTCCAAGGTTTTCAAAGCCAGTTAAAAACCAGGCAATTTTAATTGTTTTTAATTTGCCTCCTGTCACTCCTAATAATTGATATTTAAAATCCAGAAATTAGGAATGACTCACCCTGAGGGGGAGGCCACCCCGAGGACACAGGGGGTGCACCTGGGGACAGTGACCCCGGCTGCCGGAGGGCCCCTGGAATGCTCGGGGAGCCCGGGAGGGACGGGGCTGGATGGATTCCAGGTGCCCGGCTGCTGACCCGGCCTCCCTGGACATGTCCCCGTGTCCCCCGCGCCCTGCTCTGCCCGTCACCCCGCGCTGGGGCGGCAGAGGGGCTGTTCCCGTTATCCTGACCCGCATCCTCGGGACCCCGAGCACAGGGGGGACCCCGAGGTGACACCGCGAGGTGACTCCCAGCCCTCAGGGTCCTGTTCCTGCTGCCCACACCTGCAGCCCGCCGCTGTTGCCCCGGGAACGTTCAGGGGCGCAGCCGGGAGCAGGGAATGGCAGGGAATGGCAGGGAATGGCAGGGAATGGCAGGGAATGGCAGGGAATGGCAGGGAATGGCTCACCCCCGGCACGGGCAGGAACACGGATCCACCGGGATCTGTGGGACACGAGCGGTGCCGGTACACGGCGACCCTTGGGGTGAACGAGGGACTGGGGGGCTGCCGTGCCTTGGGCTGGTGATGCCGGAGAAATTCCCTGCTCGGAGCCTGCCGAGGAACCGGGAAAGGGCAGGAACAAGTGAACAAAGCCCCGTATTCCAGCGTGGAAAGGTGGCATCGCATGGCACAGGCCCCCCCCGCCAGGAGAGGGGTGACCCCGCAGCGTCCCCTCGTTCCACGTGGCTCGCCCTTATTTACATGCGGCAAAATTAATTGTTTCTGGGCTTTTAGCAGCAAAGCAAAGGGGAGCGGGAGCCGCTTCGGGACGGGGGGCGCGCCCTCCCGAGCCTGCTAAATGCCTTTTTATTCACGAGGCTGCCTGGGGAAGTTTGTATTCCCTAAATTTCTCCCCCCCCCCCCCCCCCGAGTCGGAACAACCACGAAAAAACAAACCGGGCTGCGATTTCCCCCCCTCCCGCCTCGCTCCTTCTTCTTTTCTTTCTTTCTTTTTTTTTTCCGAGAAGGGCAAAACAGGTGCTGAAATGTGAAACCCTGCTGAGGGATTTCCTCGGCACGACAGCTTGGTGGGAGCACGGACCTGGAGCGGGACGTGCTCCCAGCGCCGCCGGAGAAGGCGGCGGAGCGCCGGGAACGCCGCGCTGTCGCTTTAAGGAAAAATAAACTCCAATATGAACTACCAAAAACCCTGCCATTTCCAGCCTGGGCTTGATTAATGATTTTTCTATCTAATAAAAGGTTCACAAACCATCTGTTTTTCTCCCTAATGCCTTGCCCAAAGGTTTTTCGTTCCTATTTCAGGCTTGGGGCCAACTGACATTCCCCTCTTTTTTTTTTCCCAGCCTTGTAAACAAACCCTTCTCTCTTTTTAATCTTCCAGGGCTGTTTCCTACCCATCGTTATGCATATTCATTGCGAGTAAACATTTTTAGTGTCTACACTTAATCTCTTCCACTGGCAATTACTGTTCTATGCTGTTTTGTAATGCAGAAGGGCCAACGCTTTCCCTTCTAATAACAGCTGGGTCGCAGATGGGGCCCGCAGTCATTGTAGAAAATAAAAATTTACAAGATGCCAGTGGAATTTATTTCAGTTTTATGGAGTCACAGGAGGAACCTTTCTGTTATCCGCCTTCAGTGAGATCTGCAGGCACGAGGCGAGCTTTTGACATTTAATCAAAGGGGGGTTCAGGTAGGGGCTGGAACGACGCGGGGAAGAAAGCAGGTGGATCGTATTAGGCGATGCCATGGTTAATTTATTTGGAAGTGATTGGCTTAGATGTGTGCAGCCAATATGTGACACGGCGTATATATCTTGTTTAGCGTGGCGCTCGCCGAGGCGGCCGCGCCGCGCCGAGCTGTCACCGCGCCGCCCGCCAGGTGTGTGTGGGGCCTCACCCAGCCCTGCGCCCACGGGGCAGCCCCGGCAGGGCTGGAACAGCCCCCCTGGGCCTGCAGGACTGGGCTCCCCGTCCTGGACCGTCCGGTCGCTCTGCAGCAAATGCAGAGCTGGAGCTGCAGAAGGAGGGGGTTTGGCCTTGCGGGGTCGTCTCGGCTCTCCCCAGCCCTGCAAGGGGGGGAATCGTGATCCCAGGGCATTTGGGATGAGGGGCTGTTGGAGATGGAGGGGCTGGGAGCTGCCGGCACTGCTCGGGTCTGCCTGGCTGGGGGAAGATATCTCAGTGGGAATCGCTGATTCCCAGTGGGAAAAACCATCACAGCTGAGGAAGAAACGTGGGAGAGCAAAGCACGGGGGTCATGGAATCCCAGAATCCTGGAGTGGCTTGTGTGGGAAGGGATTTGAAGGATCATGTCATTCCACCCCTGCCATGGGCAGGGATGCCTCCCATGATCCCAGGTTGCTCCAAGCCCCCTCCAGCCCGGCCTGGGACACTTCCAGGGATGTGTGGTGCTGCAAGGCCGTACCCAGGGCAGAAGGTTCCCCTTGGGAATCAGGAGCCAGGGCTGCCTGAGGCCACGGAGCCCATCAGCTGCTTCCCACAACCCCAGCAATCCCTGAGATTTCCTGGCGGGCAAATGTGTGGATGCACATAATGGGATTAGGGGTGGAGGCAGTTTCAAGGAAACTCCCAATACATAAAGGACATATTTCTACTAAGTGGGCATTGTGGAGGTATTTTTCCACATTTTTTTAAGCAGTTGGATGGGAAGGATGTAAAAGTCCCCCATCCCTCTTTTATTCCTCCTTCCTCCTCCGTTACCAACATGCAGAAGCAGAAACTTATCGATCCACTCAAACTGATTAGATTTGAGGTGATGTGGGTTTTATTATTCATATTTTTTCTTCATT